CCTCTATTCACTCTTTCCCCTGAGTGACAGGTTTTATTTTTGTTGCGTTTTGCTTCTCTTTTTCATAGAGTGAATTTTTCTTATGTCTAATAATCCTTGGTAGTACTTTTTTTAAAAAAAATATATGATTAGAAAGTATGGATTGATATATGGCCAGAGTGTGTAAAGAAACTTGCCTTTTGGCCATGGAGATTGAATACCTTCATTGGGGTTACTAGTTACTGTAGGGCATTTCCTTACTTCTCTGTTGCTAACAAGCTATACAGAGGCTCTTGTGTTAGAACTCCAAACTTCAGAGAACAGTACATGTGGATTTATCCTGGGTTAAAATGTTGCTGATATTTGTTCAGAGACATGGTGGAGAGAAGATGGGGAGAAGGGAGACCCTAACTATACAAACTAATCAAAATATTACACTGAATTAATTATTCTTATTATCAAGGATTTCCAGGTAAAATAAAAGACATGCAGTTAAAGTTGAATTTCAGGTAAAAAGGAATCATTTTCATTTTAGTGTAAGTATATTTCATGCAATATTTGGGTCAGATTTGCACTAAAAATAAAATTATTCCCTCTTCTAAAATTCAGATTTAACTTAGAAGCCTCTTATGACCTCTCCATGACCCATCATTTATTGATTTGCAAGTATCTATGGAATTGTTCTTAGTTACCAGGAAAAGGAATCCATTAATCATATCCTGAATTTATTCATAATCCTAATTCTCATTTTAAATGGAAAAATATTATTACCAACCCCAAACCTTCCATCTAACTTTCTAATTGAAATTCTTGTGCTCTTTCCTGTGTTTTCCTTTGCCTGGATTATTTTGTGTTGACCTCCCCCTTATCGTATATTGCCTTTCTCTTCACCAAATTTAATTACAAGTATACCCTCTAATCACCAATTTACCTTCTCTTCCCTTCTCATCTCTAGTAAACTTCAAAGGAAGTTTCTTGCTGTGTGTATACCTTTTCTTGACTTTTTATAGAGTAATCTCATACAATATTTGTCCTTTTGTGATTGACTAATTTCACTCAGCATAAGAGTTAAGGGAACAAAGGTAAATACTATTACGTATACAATCATTCAGTAATGGTAATTACAATAACCTATAAGTATATACATAAGTAGTTATGCAAGCTGAACAGGTGTGGGTAGGTGGATGGGACTGTACCCATGAATATATAGATAGATAGAGAGAGAGAGAGATAGATAGAGAGATAGATTTGGAAGAGGATATTTTACATTTGTATTTATATGTGCTGCAAATATATCCATGAGTATAGTAGAGCAGTTAATGAAAATGTTTAGCCATAACAAAGCAACTTGAGGAAATCAGTCCCTGGGCCTGGAGGCTCAGGACCAGTCTCAGTGAACATCAAGGTCAATTGACATAAAATAGTCCACAAAGCCAATGCTCCACATCCTTCTTTGGTTAGTAGCTACCTGGGTCCTAAAGGCTTGTGCATGACCATCCAAGGTGAAACTATTGGTCTCTCCCTGTCTGAGACAAGAAAAGTAAAGAAAATCAAAGACACAAGGAAACAATTAATATAAAGGACTGAAAGACCATGTGAACCTCAGCCTCCATGACCCTGAGAATAGAAGAACTAGATGGTACCTGGCTACCAATGCTGACTGTTCTGAAAGGGACACAGTAAAATGTCCTGGACAGAGTGGGAGAAAAAGGTGGAACAAAGCTCAAAATTATATAAAACACCAAGTTTACTGGCCTAATAGGAATTGATGGAACTCCAAGACTGTGGCCCTTTGTCACCCTTCAAGCCTGGAACTGAGCTCATCAACTTTCAACCAAGCAGTAATAGGTCTATCAGGTAAACAATTGCACTAGGGAGCTATGCACTCCTTAGAATAATCAACCAAAGGAGATCAGAAAGGCAGGATTTGCCTGGGGATAAAGCTCTGAAGGCAGGAAGGGATAGGAAAGAACAATGAATGGAAATGGGAAACACAGAGAAGTGGGGAAGAGTGTTGTTACATTGTGGGTATTGCAATCAATGTCATGAAACAAAATGTGTATGAATTGTTGGATGGAAAATCAAATTGCTCTGTAAACTTTCACCAAAAATACAATATAAAGTTAAAAATATTGAAACACAGTAAAATATTTATATAAATATACTATCATGTTAGCATGGATAAATGATGGAAATGTTACTTGCTGATCACGAACAATACTTAAGTTAGAAGAACATTGCTTTGTTTGCAATAAAGCTGGTTATCTCTCTCAGAAGAAAGTAGTATCTCCACTGCTGACACACGATGTGCTTTTAAAGTATTTTCAAATGATTTTAATGGCATGCGAATCATTTTTTTAAAATGTGACTCGAGATATTTCCTGTATATATTTTAGTTTTAAATAAGTTGAAACTTGGAAACACAAATCTAATATATTTTGATATAAATATGAATCAGAAATACTGTTTTGAAAGATACACACATTCAGTGAATTGGGGTATTAAAAAACAGAGAGGTGCACTTCTTCCAGAAAAATGTAAACTGGAGAAACGTAACTGCAGAATACACCTGCAGGTTCTCCTGCATGTCTTGAATGTGTATCTGTTCTTGTTTCTACATTTTCCTTACCCCCTATTTGCAAAAGAGGCAAGAATAAGGGATCAATGAAGTTCATTATCAGTTGTATCTACTCTTTACTGTTACCTATCAGCTGATTTGAACATAATAATATGATCTTCTCTGTGTTCTGTTAAGCAAGAGCTACTTGTCCATATTCCCAATGACTATACCCCCTTGAGCAGTGGTACTCTTCCAGGCATCAACATTACCAAGGGGCCTATTAGAAATGCATCCTCAAGCCCATTCCACATCTATTGAGTCAATCCTAAAGGTTCAGACTAGGAATCCGTAGTTTAACAAGCTCTCCTCATGATGCCTATCACACTCAGCTTAGGGAACACTTCTCTAGTCAATATTGGTAGCTCTCATCCTGGATGCATATTAAAATCACCCAGGTGTTTCATAGACTAAACTGCAGGAGCTTCACCCCAGACCAAATAAATGAGAATTTCTGGAGAGGAAGTCTTATTTGATGCTTTCTAGGTCATTATAATGAGAAGCTAGGGTTCAGAATCATTCCCTGGATAAATAGTTTTTCACTGGGATGATTTTGCCCCTCCTCAGCCCTAGCATGGAAGCTCTGAGAATGTCTAGAGACATTTTTGAATGTCACAAGTATCTCACAACTTAGACAGTGCCACTAGAATCTTGTGGCTAGAGCCAGGCATGCTGCTAAACATTGTACAGTGTACAGGATGGCCCTTACAACAAAGAACTATTTGATCCACAATGAAGTTAAGAATCCCTTCTCTAGTACATACTTTGGTTTTAGTCTAACTCTTCCTTTTCAAGAGTTCTCTAGGAAGAACAACTTCATGGAAGTCAAAGAGGGAGGTGAAAGGGTGTATGGAAGGGAATTTGAATGTTGTAAATGCTAAGCATCAGGGCTTCCTAGATTTTAATTACTGCTTTTCTTAATTTTCTGAGCTTGGACACAGCCTGACAATCAGGGACAATAAGAGAAACAGAAAAAGTCATGGCGTGTTGGGACATGTCATTTTCTGCATTCAAGTTTTAGTCACATATCTGATTATTTTATATTTTTGGCAACAAAAATATGATCTTATTCCTTTTTATCATTATTAAATATATTTGTCTCTTTTAGAATAATCATATTAATCTTTCTGCTTTATTTTTACAGTATAAGGAAAAAGGCAGAATATGAGTTTGAAGTCCAAAGTTTGTTGAAACTGAAGGCAAATAATAATGAATTCCTTAAAGAGCTATACAAGGAAGCTTATAACATTGGTGCTATTTTCCACATAACCAAATTTAAAACAGACGAACTGGAAGGGAAAATAGCAGAAGTCAGAAGAAAATTTAAGGTTATGTATCTTTATGTTCTTAGTTCTGAAACATAAATTAACCTCAATTTTACTGATGTAATCTTGATAGTTAGATTTAATTTAAGGGATGATAATCTTAAAAAACAAGCATGCAAACAAAAACTCCCCTTTTGTGAATGTATCATAATTTGGCTATCCATTCATCTGTTGATGGGCATTTAGGTTGTTTCCATCTCTTTGCTACAGTGAATTGTGCTGCGATGACATGGGTGTGCATATGTCTGTTTGTGTCTTGTCTCTCACTTCTTTAGGATATATTCCTAAACAGATGAATGGATAACCAAATTATGGTACATTCACACAATGGAATACTGTGCTACATTAAAGAACAATGAAGAATACATGAATCATTTCATAGTGTGGGTGAATATGGAGGACATTATGCTGAGTTAAATAAGTCAATTACTGAAGGACAAATATTGTATGAGCCCATTACTATAAAAAGTCAAAGAAGAGTTTGCTTAGGGAAGGGAACTCACTTTGTACATTACTGGGGATGGTGGGGGAAAGGGAGGAAAAAAATTTGTACTAGTTGGGAGCCACACATTGAGTTAGGTAAGGGGGGGGATAGTATGGAAAGAGTCTGTGACCAGTATGAGAACATTGGGGAAAGTGAGGAAACCGAATTGTGCACATAAGATATAGATGACAGAAGTCAATACCAGTATATCCACAATATTGCACTACTGCTAACACCAAACACCAGGCTACAGATAAATGCATAGACAACTGAGAAGATCAGATAGGGGTCAGTGAACAGGAATATAGTCTAGACCAACAATAGATTCAGCTGAGGATAATCTTGCACAGATACTAGTGATACAAAATAACCACAATCATCACAGAAGCAACAGAAGATAGACTTGGAGTAACCCCCAGAAACAGCCAACCACCTTGGGAGGGAGGACCACTGGGTCTGCTGACTCAGGACCATAGCACTGGGGGATACCAGGTCAATTGGCACAACATAATACATAAAAATCTTGTTCCACAACCTACTTTGGTGAGTAGTGACTGGGAAGCTTTGGAGCGCCATCTAAGATGTAGCTAATGGTCTCCTCTTGTCTGAAGCAAAGAAGCGTGAAGAAAACTAAGGACATTTGGAAACAATCAGCCCTAGGATACGATGGACCTTGAGACCAGAAGAACTAGATGGTGCCCACCTACCAATGGCAACCACTTGAGAAGGGATCAAAACTGGAGATCCTGGATAGAGTGGGAAGAAAAATGTGGAACAAAATTCAAAAACACAATTAACAATCAGAATTACTGGTTGAATGGAGTCTGGTAGGACTCCCAAGACTATGGCCCTGGGATACACTTCAGGCCTGGCAGAGGACTCACTCCCAAGGACTGGATCTCAGCCCAAAAGTAGAAAGACTTACATGCAGAACACACACCCAGGGCAATGCACCCACCTACTCTACAGAGATACACTTCTTGGGGCAATCAACCACAGGGCACCAGAGGGGCAGCATTCATATGGAGGGAAAGCTGAACAGACGAGAATGCATAACTAAGAAGGGAACAGGGATGGGGAGTCATAGGGAAGGGAGAGAAGGAGAGTGGGTTGGGGTTGGCGATATTTGGGAACTGAAACCAAATGTATACAAACTACTGAATGTAAAACAAATTCTGCTCTGTAAATTTGTACCCAAAGCACAATTTAAAAAAGAAAAAAAATTTTAGCACCCATACATTCCAGACAATGTGACAGGTGCAAGGAATACATTGATGAATTAGATAGCTCAGCACTTTGAAAGGACAAGGTCTAGTAATTGCAATACCATGTGGAAACTGCTATAAACTATTAGAAACTTAGGGGATAATATGAAGAAAATTGTCACCTGTACCTGGAACTAATCAGAGAAAACTTCACAGAAATGATGACGTTTGAGCAGATGTTAAAGGATGAGTAGAATGGAGAACTGGAATGAGAAAGTCTTTTCTACACATATCCAGACAAATGAAACAGAACTGCCCCAAAACTGCAAGAAAAACAAACAAACATACAAAAACTCCCTTTTTGATAAATCAGAAGAAAAATCACTTCCCTCTAGATGCCCAACCTGAATAGGAAAGAAGGAAGTGTCAATGCAGCTAATCAAACTGTGTCTACTCTTTTTGTCATTACTGAGCAGAAAACACTTGGAGCATCAGGAGACTAGTATGCAGTTCAGCCTTTTCTTACACATTTAACACATAATATAAGCCCTGGTTGCACAATGGTTAAGTATTCATCTGCTAACCTAAAGGTTGGTGATTCCATGGGAAAATATGTGGCAATCTGCTTCCATAAAGACTTAAAACCTTGGAAACCCAATGTGTCAGTTCTACTCTGTCTTAGGGGGTTGCTATGAGTCTGAGTTGAGTCAATGACACACAACAACAACAAGTTCTTGCATATGGTAAGAAGAGGAAATTCTGAGAAGGGCCCCTGGACCCTATGTGATGTAAGAATAGAGAGTACCTACATCAGGCTTACATGTTATTGAATTCCACAGCAACAGGTAATTTATAGACCACAATGCTGCAGAAACAACTTCTCATATGCCTCACAACCACTCCTGAAAGACTTTAACATGCCACTTTCAAGAAAGGAAAGAACAACTGGGAAATAGCTCAACAAAGATGCAGAAGAACTCAATAATACAATCAACCAACTTGACCTCATAGACATATACAGAGCACTCCACTTAACAAAAGCACAATACACATTCTTCTCCAGTGCACAGGGGCCATTCTCCAGGACAGACCATATATTAGGACATAAACCAGCCTCAATAAATTCAAAAACACTGAAATACTGCGAAGTATTTTCTCACACCACAATGCTATAAAGTTAGAAATCAAGAATAGGAAGATCAAGGAAACTATATCAAACATGAAAATTGAATAATACATTTCTCAAAAACTACTGGGTAATAGAAGAAATAAAGTGTGAAATAAAAAACAATTCCTCAAAACAAATGAGAATGAAGATACATCTTAAAAAAACCTATGGGACAAAGTGAAAGCAGTATTGAGAAGCCAAGTTAGAGCAATAAATTCACATCAAAAAAGAGGAAAGAAGCAAAATCAA